ACACTGGGCTCACATTAGACCTTGGTTGTTTTTTGTTGGGCTCTTTTTCTTTCTTTCTTTTGCTTACCATTTTATCACATAAATTTTATTCCTGGAACCTATGCCAAAGACAGAGTTATAGACAAAAGAATGGATGGATGAGTGTGCAGAAATGCACGCAGCTCAGTTCAACTGAAAAACAGTTTCATAGATAACTTACTGTAAGCTATGACTAAAAATATTTGAAATGTTTACAGGCTGCATAATATATATGTTTGACATATTAAAGGAGACTTCTATCAGCTGCTCAGTAACCATTCCAGAAAAACGCCTCAAAAGAACTCAAGCAAAATCACAGCCCCTCATCTGCAGTGCTGTTTCTAATTTGAAGGCAAATTCATCTCTGACATACAGCAGATTCTGTGCAGGTGGAAGCAAGCCCCTCTCTGCTCCTCTCTCTGCCAGTCAAATTATGTCATCAGTGAAGGATCACTGGTTTTTAATGATACAGTGGCCTCCATACTGAGAAGCAGTCCTAGCAGAGCAGTATGCATAGCCAATAAAATGGCTGTCACCAAATTACAATTGACACTTAACATCACTAAATCTGCAGTGTAATTCCTTGTGACAGTTGTGTAGGTATATTAGAAGAAAATAATTTACTTCAAACCCAGCATGTTAGACACATTTTCCTGAGCGTAATTCATGTCACATTTACAGTAGCCAAAGCAAGCAGTCTCGAGGCAACCTTAATCTGGGAAGAGATCATAGACACTAACATGTTCATTGAAGTATGATTATTTATGCATGCAATAAACAAAGCTAGAGCAGTTGTTCATTGTAGGTTTTAATTGTTATTGGGGGTTTTAATTGTTATTGGGTTTTAAATGAATATTAGCCTCTTTTGCTGTAGGGAATAAGGAAAACTATTAAAAAAAAAAGCCACATTTTATATGGAAAACAGGCATAAGCTAAAAAGCCTCATTTTTTTTTCAGGATCAGGTGGACATTCATGTGACCCTCTCTCTACTCCAGGTCTAGATTGTGTTTGGACTTGAAATTCTGTGCTGATTGCAGCATGACAAAAGCATACGTGTGCAACTTCCAAATTGCAAGTAAACTAAAACACCAGCAACGCTATTTCTCTTCTCTCATAGTAATAATTGGAGAACAAAGGTTTGGAAGGCAGAAACAGTTTCTTCTGGAACCCTATTTTGATACATTCACCCAGAGCAGATCTGCAGAAAAGACCCTTCCCTGGCCTTATAAGCATACATAAATATGTGACAGAGTTAAAGGTCTCCACTCTTCAGAATGAAGTGGTTTGAATGTCTGGCGAAATGGGACTGCAAAAAATTCATTCCAACTTTGTCTCTAGGCAATTCACCTTTGGCCCAGTGATGATATGAGTCTTTCTGCTGATGGGGGAGGTATAATAAGTCAGGTCAGGCAGTCTGTAGGAGGCAGGGGCCTATTTGTTAGCAGAATGAGGCAGGTGTGCTGTTCTAGGGGAGATTAGCTCATCCCAGCATGCTAATTACCTCACAGGAAACCCTCAAGGTGACCCGTCAAACGCAGGAGCTGCCTATCCGGTCTTGGAAATGGGCATGCCTGTGTCGTTAACTAGTCTTAATTTAGAAACTCCAAATTTAAAAACACAAATCAGTGAGTGATAATTTCCCTGTCCTTTCATTAAGACATTAAAACATCTCCAGCAAGTGCACGCTCACTAAAGAAGGATAGCTAGATTACAGCTCAGCTGCCAGGCAGAGGCATTATCCTCCTGCCCGCTTCCTCCTTAATTTTTTTTTTTTATCCGAGTGGGGAACTGCAAGCAAGAAGTAAGAGAGTGCACTTTCTGTTCGCTGAGGTCTTTTTGGCAGTTTGTGTGCCATTTGCTGAATCCCACCTTTTGGAAAATAATTTTGAGTGAGTAGTGTATTTTCCAAAACAGAATCACAGCATTTCAGCTGTGCCACCACAGAGCAAAAAGGAAAAATGGCACGTGGGTTTTTATATAAAGTTGGAGAACACAGATTGCTCTTCCTACCTCATTCTGACTGTGGGGTGGCCGTCCTCACAGCTTCTAGGGCTGCTGAATGCTTTCCCTGTGCTAAGCAAAGCTGTGTCGCTGCTGCATGCCACTGGCAAAAGCTAGAACCTCTTTGGTTTTCTAGGTCAGCGAAGATGACCTGAGAAATTCTTCAGCGTCACTTGCTCCTTGAGCAGATTCCTGAGAGCATGAGGCTGGGGAGGTGGCAGACCGACTGCATAACAACAGCTGCCTTGTCATGTGGGCACCAGGCTCGGGTGGGGTGGGGAGGGGGTCGTGCACCAAGAGAAGTGGTAAAAATAGAAGTGGGAGGGGGAATAGTATGATTAAGAGACAGGGAGTTTCACCAATATTTCAGTTAGAGGTATGGCAAGCAAAGACGACTGACATTTCTAGGGATTTCTTAGAGACATGAGCTTAGCAGAGCTTTATTGGAAATCAAAGTTTTGAGCAGGCATTTTTAAGGATCTATAATGAGAAAAAGTATTTCAGGCATGAAATCAGAATTCTGAATATGAATATTGATATAGCAATCTTGATAAAGATCAAGTTTAAAGGATATTTAATTTATCAGTAATAAATGATTTGTTTTGTCTTTAGTGTCCTGCCATGATGAAAAAAGAATATTCATTTTACACTGCGAAGTGGCATTAAATTTATCATTCATTGAGGTCAGAGAAATCTTGTGCTCTCCCATTGTTTAAAGTCCACTCCATGGTGAAAATAAACAGTGTGGTAACCCCTGGAATGATGTTTCTCACAGAGTGAGTATGGACCATGTGCATGGTGGATGCTTGTTTTAAAAAAAGAAAAGGAAAAGAAAAACCAGAAAACTGCCCCTCTCTCCTAAGATCCATGCTCTCTGCTCTCTCGGGGATACACCGCAGGGATAGTTAGGATCTTCCAGAGCCCCGACCAGGAGCATCCACCCTCTTGTTGTTCGAACCCCTGCACCAGCCCCAGCCCCAGCCCCAGCCCCAGCCCCAGACCCATGACTCGCAACACCTGGAGCAGGAGAAGAAATCAAATAAATACAGTAATTCTCTCTGCAGGAAAAGCCATCTACAGAGATGGTACAAAAAAACATTAAAAAAACCAACCATCACAGAATGCAGCATGAAATCCTGAACCCATTTATCGAGTAACTTAATCTCTAGTTTGAAAACATTATAATTGTATTATTATTATGTGATACTACCATAGAACAAATTCCTTCACACAGAAGGAGTAAGTTAACTGAGGGCAGGTGGTGTCTAACCCCTTAGTGTGCTGGTACTTCCAAACCACCTCTGGTGACCCCATTGCTAAAATAAGGCTGGTTTGTCACAGAACATATGCCCTGTTGCCTCTTTATTAGGAACAGCTGACTGCAAGGAATTATTTTCCAAAATATCAATGTTAGAATAATTTTGTTTCCTGGAAATAGGTGTTGGGAACCGCCCTGACTGGTATCAGAGGCTGAAACCCCCGCCCAGGCTAAAGCTAAGGGAACGCCCTTGGAACTGTAAGCCAGCTAGGAGACAAAAGCTTATCTTCCTGGCAGGAATGCTGCTTCTGCTGCTTTATTCATGACTGAACCCCAAAAAGCTTGGTCGGTTAGTCAAAGACGGGTGAGATTCCCCACGGGGGGAACGACCTAAGACAAGCACGATCACTTTGGGAGGCCCCCCAAAAGAAGGACTTGGGGGGCTGCAGCAAAAGGGGGTGATGGACCCTCACTCCTCGGCTTTGACATAGCCTGAGTTCTCAGCGTCTGGGAAAAAACTTCCTTGTCTCTCGGTTGCCTTAGTTCCCTTGCTCCACCTAAGCCTGAAACAATGACAGGGTGGTGCAGCTCGGTACTGAGAAGTGTGGATTCCCCAGGGTGATCAGGCCTAAGAAAGAATATGTAAATTACTGTGAAACCTTCTTTGTTTAGAATGCTCTCAGTTGAATGAGAAGGGTCTTAGGAGGAAGTTATTTTGTTCCTCAGTCTTACAGCTCTTTGACCCCCAACTCAATAGACCGGCAGAGTTCTTTGTTTTCTATAGTTCCTTACTTCCCCCTAATGAGTACTGTACTTTACCTGAATGATTATGCAAAATGAGCCCAATAAAAGCAGGTATGGACTGTAAATCGGTGCACTCCCCACTAGAAGGGGTGGCCATTTCGTCCCTACTTCTCCACAGAAACTAGTTTGTCTCTGTGCATGTTTTTTCTCGCGTGTTTATCGTCGAGCCATCCACAGCGTTCCGTGGTCACTGCTGGCCGGTGACCCACGCGCAACAAATAGGCCCTGCTTTATAGAAAGTTTTCACCCTCAGTAGGAAAGAGAGTTGACTGTAAACACACATAAATACGCCCTCAGCCTTTTTACCTTCACCCAGCCTACCACCGCCCCCCCACCCACCACACACACACACACACACACACACACACACACACACACACACGTAGGAACTACGGTTCTCTTCCTGGTCCTTGTTAAGACTCCTCTGTCACACTCACAGTCTCGATTTTTAACATGACCACATCTTTCTGGAAATTACATGTTGAATATCAAATAAAGACCATTTTAATGTTTTCAAGGCCAGACCAATGTCATGGATAAGTCTGAAAAGAATGAAAGTCAAATCATGAACTGTGTATGGATTTGATAACCAAATAATTTCAGTGATTAAGACAGAAGTGATTAAGACAGAAGTAATCACACTTGCATGATGATAACGAGCAGCACTTATTTGGGGGGTTCTTTCCCATTGACATAGGACATCAGAAGAAGAAAAGAGAAAATACTTACTATAAACAGTTCTTCTTCATTAGCTTCTACATGCATAAGAATAATTTTCAAATGCAGAGAATAGAGGGAAGTTCTAGTTCCACATGAAAATGCTATTCTATATTTTATAAGGTCTCGATTACATAATAAATTAAATCTTAATTTATACCACCAATAGAAATGTAAGACACCAGGTGATTTTTTTTCCCTCGGCATCTGTAACCAAACTTATCCCTGAGGCCCAGCAGGCAGGACCAGGGCCCAGGACCCAGGAGTCATCTTCGGTGTTTCTGTGGCAGCCTCCGGGCCAGTGCCTGCCAGGGGTCGATGGGTCTTCAACACACTATGTTTCTGTTCCAACAGGGAAATGTAAGGTAAATTATTCTCTCTATGTGTCTGGATATTTTAATTTTATGAAGTAATCATATAATAAGACCCCCCTTCAAGGCTAAAGCTCTATCAGTAAAATGGGCAACATTTTGTAGGATTCACGTTTTTCTCTTTATCCCATATTACATAGTATATAATTTTTATTCAACCCAGTTACAGAAAGAAGAGATCTATGTTTGTAAAACTGTTACATTTAATTTTGCTGAAAAATACAATGTATTTGAAATCCATTTTGTTTATTTTTAAAAGAAAGCAAAAAAATACATTTAAATTATTTGGAAACCCACTAGACTCCACATCATATGTTATCAGGGGATTACAGATTCAAAGAGTGAGACACTGCTCATTATGATTGCCAAAACCTGGACTGCTGCCAACACCAGAGACAGGTGAGGGTGTGGAGCAGCAGGAGCTCTCATTCGCTGCTGGTGAGAATGCAGAATAGGATGGCCACTTTGGAAGACATGTCAGTAGTTTCTTACACAATTGAATACACACTTCCCATATGACTAAGCAATCACACTTCTTGGTACTTAGCCTAAAGATTTGAAATCTTATGTTCACAAAAAAACCTGCCATGCCGATGTTCTTAGCAGCTTTAATCATAATTGCCTAAACTTAGAAGGGACCGAGATGTCCTTTAGTAGGTAGATCTATAAATAAACTGTGGTACATCCAAGTAATGGAATATTATTCAACACTTAAAAGAAGTAAGCTATCAAGACAAGAAAAGATATGGAGGAAACTTAAATACATATTGCTAAGTGAAAAAAGCCAATCTTAAAAGTCTCCGTACTATATGATTCCAACAATATGACATTCTGGAAAAGGCACAGTAAAAGATTGGTGCTTGCCAGGGTTAGGATAAATAGACAAAGCAAAGAAGATTTTTAGAGCAGTGAGAACATTCTGTATGATAGTATAATGATGGATACATGTCGCCAGACAATTGTCTAACCCATAGAATGTTCAGCACCAAGAGAAAACCCTAATGTAAACTTTGGATTTCAGGTGATTATAATGTGTCAAGGTAGGATCATAAATTTTAAGGAACCTACTGCCTAACTGGGGTGTTGATACTAGGGGAGGCTCCGCATATGTGAGGGTAGGAGATATGTGGGAAATCTCTGTACTGTCTTATTTTGCTGTGACCCTAAAACTGCTCTAAAAATTGTCTTTAAAAACATTCAACATTTATTCTTGAGTTAAGTATACAGATACATTTTCTTGAATAGTTAAAAATACTCAACAGAAGATTAAATTTGTCTAAGTCAGTCAAGTTAGAAAGTTCTAGATTTTGCCATAAATTAACTATATATGATTATAAATAAGCATTTCTGAGGAAGTTTACATCATCCTTATATAAGCTTTTAAGATTAAAGTTACAGTTGTCTACTTCTATATAACAAACCACCCCTAAAACTTAATTATCCTTTTATTATTTTTCATTATTTTGTGGGTCAGAAATTAGAGTGGGACTCAAGTTGGGCAATTCTTCTGCCTCACATAGAGACAACTAGTGATTTGGTGATATTCAGCTAGAGGCTGACTTGGCCTGGATTCCTTACTCACATACTTACTTGGAGCTTGGGGTGGGATCACTGGAACAGCTGGGGATTGGCCAACATTGGTGTCTCTCCCTGCTACCTCTCCCCATAGCTAGCTTGTGCTTCCTCACAGCAGAGCAGTCTCAGGGTAGCCATATTTCTTACACAGTTAATCAAGAATCCAAGAGTGAGTGTTCCAAGAGACAGGCAGTAGACACTTCTAGTCTCTTACAGCCTAGACCCAGAAACAGGCAGAGGAACATCACTTCCATGATGTTCCATTGATCAAAGCAGTCAAAGAGGTCACCCTGATTCAGGACAAGGAAACAGAGAGCTATGTCTTAATAGGAAAAAGGTCTAAGATTTCTGTGACCATTTTAAATCTGCCACAACAGAATGTTTTATTTCAGAATTGTATTGTTAAAAATTTTTTTCTACAAAGAACATACACTGTATCCAATTTCTTTATTGGGAATTCCCAATTTTCAGGAACAATTTCAATGTTCTCAGAGAATAACCAACAAAGAAAGTCCTAGGAAAACCTAACTACAGAACAAGATATGTGTCACATGGAGTATATAGCTTAGTATGCCCAATCTAAAAGTAAGTCCAACAGAAAAAGGTAAGACCCCTTGTAACTAGTGTAATTAGCATCAGTCAGCCTTCAGTGTTAGCTTAATGACACCAACCTATGACAAATGGCCATAATTAATCCTTCATAACTGTGTGACATGCATTGCCATTTATAGTTCAGGCAATGGATGGGCAGAATATGGGCAGGTGTCTTCACAAGTTTCAGAAGACATCACTAGCCAAGATACCTTCATTTTACTCACATGTCCCCAAATGTTAGAAAGCCACCAAAATTTTCTACTTCAATTTCTAAGAATGACTTATCCTTAGTTCATAGCAGTAACTATTTAGCAAAGTCTGTTCTGTTACTTACAATTTGCTTTGGCTTGATATGATGGTTTCCTATTAGTTCTGCAATGATGTTTAATTCTACTGTTCAGTATGTCTTGACAGTTATTCTAGTTACTTTGCTTTCAGTACAAGCCAAATACCACCTTCAGAGAATTGCTATGGGTATTAAATGAAATAATACACCTGAAGAAACTTTATTTCTTTAAGTACAACATTGAGCCCTGGCTGGTGTAGCTCAGTGGATTGAGCTCGGGCTGTGAACCAAAGCATCGCAGGTTCGATTCCCAGTCAGGGCACATGCCTGGGTTGCAGGCCATGGCCCCCAACAACCGAACATTGATGTTCCTCTCTTTCTCTTTCTCTTTCTCTTCCCTCTCTAAAAATAAATAATTTTTTTTTAAAAAGTACAACATTGACTATCTTAGCTACAGGGATTACAAAGATGACTACCAAAGCAATCCAGTGGTAGGAATAGACACTATGAAATAGGTATCAGCCTCAGTAGAATTTAACCAAGGGCAAAATATTCATTCCAATGGAGGAAAGAGAATTTGGAAGACATTATGCCTAAGACAGAGAGAGGCAAGAAGTTGTAAAAATAAAAAAATTCCAAAAAGCAGAGTAGTAACCTCAGCACAGGGCACATCAGGAGGAAGAAGGAATTAATGAAGCCCATATTGGGAAAAGAGACCGAGACCTTATCATGATACACTTCTAATGCTCAATGGAGGAATATAAACAGTATTTGAATAAGCAGTGGAGAGCCATTCAAGAATTCCATAGAGGATTGAAGAAAGACTATATAGTTAATCTACTCCCAGAGGACTCTGATGAACAGATTCAGTTAGTCATTTTTGTTGTGAAAAGAAGAAAAAAGGGTTAGAATCCCAAATCATAAACCCTGAAACCCATGATTCACTTAATGTTGAACTAGATTCAAAAGTGGAAAATATTACAGATCCATGTCCACCTTACTGGGTTTTGGTCCCACATCCCAATCTTGCCTCCCATCCTGGTAAACTAGGTGTGGCCATGTATGAACTGGGAGGTTTCCTTCTGTTCCTTACTAAGGGATCTATTGTCAGATAGTTGTGGGCTTCTAAACCACTATTCCCTGGAGCCAGAGTCAGGTCTCCAATCTCTGGATGTGAGCACTCTGACTCAAAGTAGAAGCAGATAAATGAGAGTGCTTTTTTCCAAGAAGTCAGTGGAGAACCTGCTCCAGCTAAGAATTAACTCTACGTACCCTGTGTCCAACAGGCCTTCTCAGGGTAAAGGCATTCCCTGGATGGATATGGTCATATATACATCACACCAGCAGAAGGAAAGAGAATAATAGTAACACACACAAAAAGGGGCGGTCAACAGGAGGTCTGCTCCCTAAAGTAAGATTACCCTCCTTTTCTGAGCTTTGAATCCCTTGCCTAGGATTATTTAATTTCTTGAATACCCTTAAGTATATTCCTTAAATAATTTTTGTGTGTCATTTAATAAAAAGTAAGGGAGTTATTTTTATTTTATATTAGTGAGTTATTAAATAGTATCTTATATAGCTCAATAGACTATTTAAAGATATTTTACATTAATGATTTTTAGCCCTGGCTGGTGTGGCTCAGTGGATTGAGTGTGGGCCTGTGAACCAAAGGGTCACGGTTTGTTTCCCAGTCAGAGCACAAGTTTGGGCTGCAGGTGGTGTCCCCGGTATGGGGCGTGCTAGAGGCAACCACACATTAATGTTTTTTTCCCTCTATTTCTTCCTCTCTTCCTCTCTCTCTAAAAATAAATAAAATATTTTTAAAAGAAAAAAAGAGTTTGTACATTTTTTACATTAACAAGAAAGTCATGTTGTTTAATTAAATCAACTTTATATAATAAAAATTATAATATGCTTGACTAACAATTTAAAAGTAGCATATTTTTGTTTAAGTATATTAAAAAGTAGATATAAATTAAACTACATTGGCATAGTCTGTTGTAAATAAAAAGAAAGGTATTATTTTCTCTTTTTAACACTAGTTTTTGAAGTATTAGACTCATCTTGGTTCTTAAACAAGAGTTTGAGCAGATGAACACAGCATAGACAGCTGTTGAAGAGTGTCTTGAGGAAATTTTGGAGAATTGTTATCAATCTTATGCTCCTCCTCAAACTTGTTGCCTTTTAGTATCACTGTTGTGTATTTCTCATCCTTAGTCAACAATCCATTATAGGTATAAATTAAACACTTTATGAGTAAGAAAACAAATTAAAACTGGAGAGTGTCTGACCTCTATAGCAGTTAGCAGTATTGAGCTGAGATAAATTTCCTGAGTAACTGAGGCATAACACTCATTTTATCAATACATCCTCACTCAATTAAATTAAATTAGAGATGCCATTACTACCTGAAACATGGGTTTTCAAGTGTGTCCCCTGGACCAGCAGCATCAGCATCCCCTGCGAACTTGTTAGAAATGCGAA